GCCCAAGCCCGCTGTCAGCGCGCGGGGAGGGGCCGGCGGCGCCTCTCGGCCGTGCTCCGGCTCCAGGGGGCTCAGCGCTGGCGGAGGCTGAGGGCGCTGGAGGCGGAGGCAGGGCTGGGGCTGGGAGGGAAGGGAAGGGAGGGGAGAGGGGAAGCTCGCGGGGAGGGGCTCCGGGCCCGGGGGAGGGGCTCGGGCACCAGGAGGGGGCTGCAGCCCAGCCAAGAGGCAGGGGCGGGCCGACGCGCCCCCACCCGAGCCAAGAGTGCAGCCTGCGGCCTGGCGCGGGGGAAGCTCTGGGTTAGTTCTCTGGCACATGAAACCCTGGGTGGCTTCGAAGGGAGGAAGGATGGGGGAAGGTCTACCCAGCGCGCCTCCATCCCGGTTCCTGGCATCTCCAGCCTTTCCATCTTGGAGAAGATTTGTGCCTTTTTGCTCCACCCCCCCACCCCACCCCCCATCTTTACGCGCCCTCCTACCCCTATCTCCCTGATCTCTTTAATGAAAAGTGGTTTATGACCCTGCTATTACTGCCCAGGCCCCCGAGGAGGAGACGGCAATGGGGAGGGGGCTAGCATTAAATCCTTCAAGCCAGAGCCTCTTTTGAGAAAACAACTACCCCTGCGGGTCACAAAGGGTGAATTCTCCTCGGATTTGTGATCGATCCTTTGCCTGAGTCGTCCATCGATCCGAGCCTGTGTAACTAACCTGTGACATCATTTGCCAGTGAGGTTACAAGACGCTGCATAACGCCACTGCTTTAAGCCCGGGGCTCCCCTGGGACCCTCCCAGGGCGAGGAGGGAAGGCAGCCTACAATGGTGGGAAAATCGACTGCGTTGGGGGCTAGCTCATCCCCCGCCACAGCCCTTGGCTTTCTCACCACCCCGCCCTCTGGTCTTGAAATCCAACTTTCAAAGCCATTTATTTGAGCTCCCCGGACTTGGAGCATAGTTAACTAATTCAATTTAGCTTTTCCCCCGCCCCGCCGTCTATTTCAACATTTTTTTTTTTCCATTCTACTTTTAAATATTTAAAGGGGTAGGGTTTTTACAACTAATTCAGTGGTTTCACAATCACAATAAAGCTTTGTGAATGTGGACCGAGGTGAAATATCTGAAAGGAAAAATAGTCTTGTGACCTAATTGGGTTAATATTTTCTTCTCTGCCCTGTCAGAATTCATGCACCAATCTAAGACTTTATTCACTCATTTGCTTGGTACAGAGAATCCCACTATTCCTCCAGCAAACTATCTAAAAATCTGACCTCAACTAAATCACTTAAGTTAATGTCACAGGGATTACAGTCACCTTAATGCTCTCATTTGTTAAATTCTGGTGCTAATCTAGATGATCTTTTAGGATTCCTTTCTACATACACTTTAAACTCAGCAGTACTTAACTCCCGGGGATACACTTTTTTAATTCTTTGTATTTCATAATTAGCATGCATGCATGTTGACATTTAAAAATAAGATTTAAAAAAAATTCCTTTATACTTAAAATTCTATGATTCTAGAATTTTGAGAAGCTCTTGTAAATGAGCACAGAAATAGGTGCTCAATCAATACTTAAAATTTTAAGTATTGATTGAGCACCTACTATTCTGTGCTCATTTATGAGGCATTAAGAGACAGAAAAGAGAAAATTCAAATAATGTTCGTGAGACTGAAAAATTGAATCTAGTTGACAGATGTTTGCCCCTTCCCTCAAGAAACGGACAATCCAGTTGGGAAACAGGGACATCAATAAAACTGGATGTAATAAAATGTGCATTCTAAAAACCAAACCAAACCCATAGCCGTCTAGTCAATTCTGACTCATAGTGACTCTATAGGACAGAGTAGAACAGCCCCATAGAGTTTCCAAGCAGCGGCTGGTGGATTCGAACTGCCAACATTTTGGTTAGCAGCTAAACTCTTAACCACTGCGCCACCAGGGCTCCAAAATGTGCATTAAGTCTCCAGAAATAGAGGCCTGGAGGAATCAAGGAGAGCTTCATGGAGAAGGCTGTCCCTGTGTTGAACCCTGGAGGATCTGCAGAGTATTGGAGCACCTCTGCTTCCTCCGATCTCTTCTAGTCCAGCAGCACTTATCCTGAGCTGCTCTGACACTTGTCCATAATACACATCATTTCCTCTGAAAATACACAGTGTACAGGGACAGCTGTAAGTTATCTTATACTTGGTTGCACTCCTCATATGGCCAAACACAGTATCTTATACACTGTAGTCCCTTTAAAAGAATTTGCTGAGTGAATGAAAGAATGAATGATCAGGAGAAGAAAAGGTGGAGTGACAAGAAGTCTCATGCGTGACCTGACGCCTGAACAAGCTGGTGATGGGCAGAGGACCGGGAGGACAGTGTCTACCTGAGGAAAGATCAGGGGAGGGGGTGAGACACATAAGAAGGAAATAAAGTTGAATAGGTAGAGGGTCCAGCTTGTGAGGCATCTTGAGCACTAGGCACAGGACTTCTCTAGCTGGGAAGAGGATGGAAAACCAGTGCCCGTGCATGGGAGAAGGTGACCTGGCAGTGATGCTCAGAGATCGGAAGAGGCAGACAAGGCACTGCCCCTCTGAGCAAGGCCCTTCTTGGCATGAGGTGGGAGGTAGACCTGGGATAGGCCCTCAGGAAGAGTTGGGCTATGGGGACCAGAGAGGGCGCTGACCCATCTCCAAGTCCTCTCATGATGCTTCAAGACAGCCTTTGGGTTCATGATAAAATGATTCACAATGGCACTTGGCTGGTCTTCATTTGTGGATCTCAAAGGTTCTGGAAGCACTAATTAAGTCTGAGAAAGCCTTAGTGAGGAGAGCTGGTGTTTAGCTGTTGAAGGGAGAGAAGAGGAGGGGGTTAGCCTACGTTGTGTCCCCTTGTCAGAGCAATCGGCTCACCCACGATGAGTATCAGAGGTTTCCCACTCACACTCTACCTTCTGGACCAGGATACACACTGAACATGAACTTGAGCAGAAGAAATCTGTAGGCGAGACAGCTCTGTGCTCTCTGCAGTCCTGGTAATACAATGTATGCGTTTTGGCCTTTGTCCTGCCAAAGAAACTCCAGACAACCTGGCATACCTTAAATTCATCGTCATTAAGCACAACTTGGGTACTCCTAACTTCCTCCTCTGCCTCCAGATTACCTCAGTTTTAGGGAGTGCCTGAGTGCCTCACATAATGCCAAGATCTCTAGGTATTATTCGGGCAGAAGTTATTTTTCTTTACTGGAACCATATGTCCAAGAGACTCTGAGTATAAAGTCATGCTGACTCTCCCTTCTTCCCTGGGTACATTTCAACCTCATGCAGATTTCCTTCCCACAGTGCCTTAGGAGTTCCCTTCTGTTCTACAGACATTTATTTACAAAGTGCCTCACATTTGCCTGGCACACCCCAAACTGACTGGGACTGGCTGAAGGCTCGTTGGTGACAGGAACTGTATGTCATTCATTAGTATACTCCCACTATGCCCAGCATATAGTATGTGTTTTGGTTGGCCTAAGTTGAAAACATCTGCCCTCAAGGAGTTCATAACTCAGCGCAGAAGAGTGTTAGGTAGACCCTTATTTTACCACCTCCATCTGAAAGAGTTGACTCTAATCCATTTTCTAGCTCAAAGGACATTGTGTAAGTTAAAATGACAAAGTAAAACTGTAAAAATACAAATAAATAAATAAAAGGATAAATAAGGGAAGAGGACCCATAATTTATTTTTCAAAATATAATTGTAGAATGCTTCAAATCAACTGAAAGAGGCAAGAGAGGTTGTTTATTCCTCTGATTTTACAGAGGGGAAACTGAGGCCCAGAGAAACTAAGCTAGTTGCCCCGTGTTACACAGCTGCTTAGTCCCAGACCAGCCAACCTTCTCCTCCCCCAAGCTTATGTGCCCATTCACAGGCTAGAAGAGTTTATTCAAAGAGCACACTTTTAGTGCATTTACAAACACCTGCACACCCAGATGTTGCTCTCCCTCTGAGCCCTGAGTCTCTCGGTTCCAGTTCTCCATCCACACAAGCATCACGAGCTGCCTGCACTCTCCAAGGAGGCTGGACGCTCCTCAAGGGCAGGGCCATGTGTTTCTCCACAGTCCTCTGAGCACATGCAAATCACATCAGCTCCTCAAGGCAGCGTGCAGAGCCCACCTCTTCTCCCATGAAGGACCATCTTGACCACCCCAAATACGGGAAAGCACTGGAGGCAGTTAAGTCCAATCAAAGGCAGAGTATAATTCACTCTTCCTCCTCAGAAATTGTATGGCAACTGCTAACCTCTCATTTGATTACTAATCATGCATTATGACATGATTAGTAATGTCATGACAGCTATGACAGCTCAGCCTCCACTGCACGGAACTCTATTGTTATTTAACTTTCCTATGCTTCCATCATGCCTTCTAAACCAGCCTTTAAGTGAAGGCCTCGAGGACAGTGAACTTAATACTCTGACACCGTCCTGTCCCTCCCCCCATCCTCACCACACTGCACCTGGGCCACCCACTGCTTCTGCCACTCTGCCGCCTGCCACCTGCCACACACACCCCACCCAGCACAGGGCTTTATGCGTGCTAGGCACTCGATAAATGGTTGTCTATTTAAATATCTCAGCAGACACTTGTAGATGCTGGTAAGTGCTGCCTAAGAAGAAAGAAAAATGGGTTGGAGAACAGAGTCCTGCAGCAGGACTTACCCAACATGGATTCTAGCCCTGGCTCAACCAT